TTAGAAGTTGATGGTACGAATAATAAATTACAACAATACGTCAATTAATTACGTGATCGATTTTTTGAAGGAGAATGTTTTTGGAGTGAATAAAATTATGAGATTCGTGAACATAAATCTGGCTTAACGTTTTGAATGCGTTTCCTTCAACGTTTTACAAAACAATTAAATTGCAACAATAATGTATTTGTGTTTGTTTTTAGTCTGCAGCATTTGTATTTCGAGAATGTTTCAAACTCTTCTAAATTGTGAAACATAATGTGTTGATTCCATTAAAAAAAATATTTGCCCTGTGACTGAGCTCACTAATATTCATAATTGTAAATAAGTTCTGTAAATCAATGAAGGAAAGATATGTAAATGATATGCAAATTATTATGCAAATTAGCCCCGGCGCTATGCATTTTTTCTGGGGAGAACCCTGCTAGTTACTAGTTTTTTGGAAAAACCATGTCTTTTAGTCGCTGAAATCAATTCCAACAGATTGTACTTCGACATCGATAATTCACTTCCGCATTGCGTTACCGGAAAGTCTTCGAGAATTTCCGAAGAATTGCGTCAGTCAAAACACAGTATTCTGATTAGTTAATAACCAACTTGACCCATTAGGTCAAAGGACGCTGCTGTAGGTCAAATCTGCAAATGCATCATGGTGGAAATAATATGACAATTTTGACTTCGACTGTGTTCCAACAGACTCAAATGTACGTAATTAATATTGTAATAAAATGTGCGTATTTTTTGTGATCATTTCTGTTTCTTCATTGTGAAAATCAATGACGACGCAACTAATTTAGTAATTTGATTTTCCCTCAAAGACGTAATTTGTCACTTGATGAATCAAAATTTTCATTTGCACTTTTTTTCGAGGGGGGTGCTCGGGTAAGCGCCCACCCCTAAAAAATCATGATTTTCTAAGTTAAGGCCCCTGGGCACTAACACGATCAAGTACAGTAATTGAATTATTTTATTTTGCAATGATAAAAGTAGAGGTAACTAGCATGTTGAATATTTATATTACAGCCTGATGTCACCTGGATTTATCAACATGTTGATAGAGGGCGATATTCTGTGCCGAGTTGTGTATCTACTTGTTAGAGGGCACTCCCCTGTTCACAATATTCACTTTCATGTATCGGCATGATTAGAAGGCACTGATCAATAATGATGTATTATTTGCAAACTCAAAATTGTGGCTAATTTGATTGTTTTGATAAACACAGAAAAGTCGCTTGCTCATTTGAATGTATGTACTTATTTTCAGGATGGTACAGTTATAGATAACAGGGCATTGGAATCACTATCATTAATTGATGCAGTAATGCCAGATGTTATCTCAACAAAAAAAGCAGAAGTTAAAGCACAAGCTGTTACCGTGACAACACAACCACAGAATAATGAAAATCCTAAAGTGGATGGAACAAGTACAAATACGAATGGAGATGATACGATAGGAAATTCATTAGGAGGTATGCTATGCGATACTGTCTGGATTGTCTTGTATGTTTGATAAATTGCAGTCTGATTCACATCTAACTGGCCCATGTTTATATTTGATAGTAAACCACACAGAAGCAATGGAAGTTGATGGAGGAATAGAAATCCCAACGAATAAAGCTACAGTTTTAAGGGGACATGAATCTGAAGTCTTCATTTGTGCCTGGAATCCTAAGAATGATCTTTTAGCTTCAGGGTAAGTATTTACCATATTGCCATCTTGAAAAGTTTATTTCATTACAGCAACGTCTAATTTTAGTGTCTGTTTATAAACGTGTAATTTTGCATTTTTTAAAAATTACCAGCCTGAATTACTATGATATATTTTTTGTTTATGTGCACTTCTAATAGAGCAAATACTGATATCAATTGACAAGTCAAAAACTGTAATGTATTGAATAAAAAAAAAATCATACAGACTTTGTCAGACTAGATACTGTAACTGGATCACTTATTGACATGTGACTTTATACTTCAGGTCAGGTGACTCAACAGCAAGAATATGGAATTTAAATGATAATCCTACTGGTCCAAATCAATTAGTATTAAGACATTGTATCAGGGAAGGCGGACAGGAAGTGCCGAGTAATAAAGATGTAACCTCATTAGATTGGAATGTAAGCAATGCTGCTCGTTCTAGGTTAAAATAGAAAAATAATTTGATGCACTTTTTGTTTACTTTTTTCCCTTGTAATAATATTATTTCATCCCACAACAAGATATATGTTTAACGTTCAACATCCTCAAACCAAAAACAAACATTTTCTAATTCTACCATATGTGGCGCACTTTAGGAGAAATCAAGCGTTTGAAGATTGTTGAATTTAAGCATTCAAGCTGTAATTATCGTTAATGATGTCATACAAGACTTCCAGTTTACAGTAAAAATTCCAATTACCCCCCCCCCCCCCCCGATGTCTGAGATTAAAAGAGACCCCTTAACCATTCCCAACCACTAGAGGGCATGCATCTTAAAAGACTATTATCTGTTATATTGAATTGAAAACTTAATACTACTAAGCTGGATTTTGAGATGTATGTGGAAATAGTTATTCTGATATACATATGTTTGTAACTTTCAGAGTGAAGGATCATTATTAGCTACTGGATCATACGATGGTTTTGCCAGGATATGGTCAACAGATGGTAGACAAGTAACTACATTAGGGCAGCATAAAGGTCCTATATTTGCTCTCAAATGGAATAAGAAGGGCAATTATATTCTTAGTGCAGGTGTTGATAAAACTACTATTATATGGGATGCACACTCAGGGGACTGTAAACAACAATTTCCGTTCCATTCTGGTGAGTATTGTGTGTGTTACTATGCTACAAGTATAGTTGTTGTTGCAGTCACTAATGCATATAATTTGTACATGTGTGCGAGTCTCACATTTTGTGTCTTGTTCCTACAGCACCAGCATTAGATGTAGACTGGCAGTCCAATATTAGTTTTGCATCGTGTTCCACAGATCAATGTATACATGTTTGTAAATTGGGAGTGGAGAAACCAATAAAGACATTCCAAGGACATACAGTAAGGACTGACTTCATTGGCTAAATAATCATTTCTGTCTGCTTTCTGCACCATTTTCACCAATCAAATTGACTGTCACTTAACTTTACTATTGTTATCATTTTAGAATGAAGTTAATGCTATTAAATGGGACCCAACTGGTTCGCTCCTTGCATCATGTTCAGATGATATGACATTGAAGGTAATTATTTACTAATACATTTACAATTTCTTGGTCGGTCAAATATTGATTAAAGAAAGTGGAATAGTTGTTGTTTTTGTGACTAATTCTGTGATGTGGCTTCACTGGTTTCACATTACTTTCTCGTTTTTATCTAGATTTGGTCAATGAAACAAGATAGTTGTATACATGATCTACAAGCACATAATAAAGAAATATATACAATAAAATGGAGTCCCACGGGTCCTGGTACAGATTATCCTAATCAATCACTTATGTTAGCTAGGTAGGTTATTGCATTCATTCATCACAAGTATTCAGTGTCTGTCTGTTTGTTTGGCATCACTCTCCTCAAAGTAGTTTTTGATTGGCAATTGCAATTCCAATGATGTGACAAATGTAATATTCTTTGATACTCTCCTCTATAGGTTGTCCCATTTATTTACCTTCTGTGCATGTTCATTGATTGGTTGGCAAGAACTGACTGTCCACACGTGAAGATAAAATAATGGCATTGTAAATTGTGCTCCCATTAACCTTTTCACCACCAGACTTTCTTGCCCAAATTTTTCTGCACTTTTTTTCTTATATTCTTCAATATTTCTGGAAATGAATCCAGACAAAATTTGAGTAAATTTCCAGTTTTTACTCAAAAAATTTGGCTATTTTTTTCTCAATCTTCTGAAAGCAAGTGCAGACTATAAACATGACTATTTTGTGATGAAATGAGTGAACTGGTGGTGAAGGGACAACATTGTAACAGATAATGAGCTTAGTGCGAATCAATGACCAAAAGTGTCAACAAAGGACATCACAATGCGATTGCCTATCACTAGCAATTCTCTCATCTAGCAAATACACTGCATGAATACCTCCCTTAACTAATGTGTTTATTTATTTGCAGTGCTTCATTTGATTCCACAGTACGGTTATGGGAAGTAGAGAGGGGTATTTGTATTCATACGCTAACAAGGCATCAGGAACCTGTGTACAGTGTAGCATTTAGTCCTGATGGCAAATATTTAGCTAGTGGTTCATTTGATAAGTGTGTTCACATATGGTCCACACAGGTGAGTTTGTTTATATGAAATGCTCATCAGGGCACACACACACACTGTCACATGTCATAAAGAACTCATATTGTCCAAATAGATCAATAAAACTATTGAATATCACTGAGTATTTTTAAGATTGCTCAGTTTCAGTATTAAGAATTTGTTAATTGTTATACAATGAATAATATTAACATTTCTTTGTGTTGGGAACTACATTTTGGGATGATGGGTTTGTGTGTGACAATGACATGGCCAATTTTCATTCAAACTTAATCTAAATGTTTTATTTTTTATATTAAATATACCGTACTTATCCGGGTAAGAGCCCATGCCTGGACAAACTCCCACCCCCCACTTTTGACACAATAAAGAAGTTGAGGTCATATCCAGGCACACGCCCAGGGGGTCTTTTTCTACACAAAAAAATAACAAAAAAATTATTTTCTATTCGTTGACTGTGGTTGTATTAACAGTTGACTTTCTTGAAGTCTGTCGTGATGCTTATAAAAATTCTTTAAATATAATTGTTAATTGCCTAAAACAAGTGGGGAACGCGAAATAGCTGTGACAGCTTTCTGCCTTCAGGGCAGGGCGTTCACCGCTGATTTTTTTCAGAAGCATAACAGTCAGCAAGTCTATAAAAATATATATTAAAGCAGAAACGTAAATTTTTTTTTTTTAAATATGTCGTGGCCCTAAAAAGGGCTGGCTGTTTGGTTTGTGCTTCCTTAGAAACAATTCAAGCAAATCGTATAAGGAGAACCGCTAGGCAAGTGTCGCACTCATTCGGCTTTAGTGTCGTCGACAATGAAACCAATGTTGCAATATTGTAGCAACCCGTACCTGAGAGAGTGGTTGAAATCACGTTAAAATATTTGCTAGCAGCTTGCGAATACATAACTAGGTCCAGCAATTTTGCAATGTCACGCCGAAGACTGCCAACTTTTTTACCATCTTTCATCACCGCTATTGCATTTCTGTCATGAAAACTATTCTTATGTCGTTGGATAAAAAAAAACTTCCTATTTCAAGTCCACCGCGATATCCATATAGTGAGACATTCCAACCGCCGGAACTTGCTGAATGATAACTTTCACCGTGATTGATAATCTTCGAGTCTGATAAGAAAGCAATGTCACGATTTGACCTTTATGATGAAATACTAGTAGTGATGTCATTCTTAGCCAATCAGTAAAGCAGATGCATAAAGGTCAAAGATGATTGCTAGACTGTAAACAAAAGCATCGTGTGCCATCGCAGCAGAGCAACCCCGTTTTTCTTGTCTCTTTATTGTGATTAGACATGAATGAAAAGTGCCAAGCTAACAGACTGCAAAATCCGTGGATTAAAAGTGCTAAGTATAAATTGTGTGGGACGATATCAATGAACTTCAGGAAGAAGTTGTAGGGATTTTGTTCGACGGCTACAGTGACGCTAACTTTGACTTTGAGGGTTTTGAGTTTGACGAAGATGGCAATGAACGTACAAATAAAGATCTGAGAAGTTTTTTTCAAACAGCTATGAATTTTTATAATTTTTACTGTGTAAATTTGTAAATTATTATTGATCTTGTATGACAGTTGATTCGTAATTTGTCGAGACTGGTAATCATTTTACACAGTTTAACCCCTGACATTTTAATTCATTTTGAGTTCACACGTGTTTGTCGGCGGGAAAATCAGAATTCAAATGATTCCTCACTGTCGATTTTTATTATTTCTGGTTTATTTGTCACATTATAAGCAATACATTAATTTTGTTTTACTTTTAGTGTTGCATATTGTTTATTAATTTCCGTTGCATGTTTTCATTTGCCTTTCTATTCCCTGCCGCAGTTCGATCTGCGATCTGCAAACGACCACCCCTATTTTTTTGGCAATTTCCTATGTTCAGGACCTTGGGCTTATACCCGGATAAATACGGTATATTGTTAGTCCCTGTTTGAATGAAGTTTTTGTTTTCTTCTTATAAACGTGATACCATTCATAGTTGCATGTATACTATAACACATTATTGTACTCATTGTTACGAAAAGTAAGCTAATTTAGCCAAACCTGCACTATTGCCATTGGTTGTAGAGACTGATTACCACGTTTGATTGTCTTTTTTAGACTGGTAGTCTTGTACATAGTTATCGTGGTACTGGTGGAATTTTTGAAGTTTGTTGGAATTCTAGGGGAGATAAAGTTGGTGCCAGTGCATCTGATGTTCAGTAAGTACCGAATAATTCATTGAATTGATTCATATCTGTAGTTTGCTGTTCGGCTATTACATGTAGTTTGGGAGTGTGTTTACATCTACCACAAACTGTCAATGATGAATGAAGTCAATCATCTAGACTGACATGTGCTTTTTTTCTTTACAGGTATGTGTTCTTGATCTTCGGAAGTGACAATGCTGCATCTAGACTAGTATTCATATTTTAAGTTTATTTTTTCCCACAATTGTATACATTTGCTTAGATTCGGCCATTTTTGCCTCTACATATTTAGCTCCGCTGTCGACTTTGTCGAGCGGAGCTTATCATATGAGTGATTGTCCGTCGTCGTCGTCCGTCGTCGTCGTCCGTCGTCCGTGTCAATGTTTTACTTTTTCGACTTCTTCTTGAAAACTACAAGCCTGAATGCTTTGATACTTGGTGTATATGTACCTTGGGTAGACCTCTCTTAGGTTTGTTCATTTCATGTTGATATCTTCAATTCTCTAATTTTGGTGAATATTTTTGTAATTTTTGGTAAAAAGTGATATTTTCGACTTCTTGTTAAAAACCGCAAGTGCAATTGCTTTGATATTACATATATAGGTACTACATGTGGACCTCTCTCAGATTTGTTCATTTTTTAATGATATCTTTAATTCTCTAATTTTGGTGAATTTTTTTGTCATTTTTGGTAAAAAGTGATATTTTCGACTTCTTGTTAAAAACTGTAAGTCCGATTGCTTTGATATTATATATATAGGTACTACATGTGGACCTTTCTCAGATTTGTTCATTTCGTGATGATATCTTCAATTCTCTAATTTTGGTGAGTATTTTTGTCATTTTTGGTAAAAAGTGATATTTTCGACTTCTTGTTAAAAACTGTAAGTCCGATTGCTTTGATATTATATATATAGGTACTA